GCGGCACTAAGTGTTAGCGATCGGAAGAGTATTTTGCGCAACATTGAGACGGTCTACAATATCTTGATGCAGATGGAAGATCTTCAGAGAAATATGCCCTCACCCCCAGCATCAGAGGAAGAGTCGGTCAACTTCGACGCCGAGGCACACATGAGCGCGCGAACAAAGATGAGTGGGCTTAATCGCAGGCTTTGGGATGCACTTCAAGTGCTTGAGCCCATCGTCCCTGGCTCGAATAACACTCATCCGTTCATCGCATTCCTGAACCATTCCAAGGGCAAGAAGGCGATTCCGCGTATCTGGAGATACATCGACCAGGAACAGCGCGTCACAATACTTACTATGATTGTCATCAACCTTGACTCTCTCGATGTTGTTCACAAGGGACAACCTCAGAGTGGTGAAACGCAACCTGTGACTTCAGTTCGCGAGGAAATTGAATTGTTCCAGCGCGTCGTCATACCCTCACTTATTTCTTACGCCAACGACGCTCCTCTTAACATCATCGCTGGTCTTTTCGGTCTTGTTCTGGCACGCACTCACGTCGAATCTGTCGTGATGTCCCGCATTGGCCTTCTCATCCTATGCATGCTTCTCTCTCGCGCTGAAACCATACGAGGAAGCACTCAAATACCCGAGACTGAATGGGCGCAATGGATGGAGCTATACAACCAACTCTTTGACCGTCTTGAGCATGCTTGGGATGCCATTTTCCCGGAGAGCATCAACAGCGGAGACGATATATACGCTTGGCAGTTCCTTGCCGCTGTTGGTGTTGGCGCGAATCCGGAACAGCAACAGCGTTTGGTTATTGCAGTCAAGGATCGCGTCATCGAGACTGTGCAGCAGAGCAAGACGTTGCCTCCTGACATGGGTGCCAAGAGGCTAGCAAATGTCAATCTCTTCATGAGATCAATCGGTTTGGATGTTGAGCTGTTGTAAAGGAGATGTATAGTGAGTCCATGATATTAACATCTAGGGGGATGGGAAGCCGTCCGAAATGGTGATTGGCGAACGCTTTCAAGCAGTTATCGATTGATAAATGTCCCATCTCATCTTTGAATTATCCCGAGAGCAAAACAAGGGCTTTATATTGTCACGCCCGCTATGGACAGGGCTCTCGGGACCTCTGCACTTTTTTCTATCTGGTCAAGGAAAAAACTGGTGTCTGCCCATAATATTTTCCTGCATTCTTGACATTGCTTGTCCTGTTACTTCTTATTCGCCTCCCTGCAACCTGCTCTATTTGCGTTCACGAAGCACATTCATGTAGTCGTGTCATGTCATCATAATCTACGGCGTTGGGTCCGGCTTGTGATGCTCATATATCAATGCTAGATCTCTATTCATCTTCAATCTCGAACACCTGATAAATATATCTTAATGTAGTTTTTTTCAGTGAGGCTCGCTCTTTGGGAGCTCTCATTCCTATGCAAGCCGGGTCTCATGGCATGCGGAACCCGTGGCTCGGGCCATGGACGACACAGGCACGGCGTAAACATCCCGACCTCCGCAGCCATCGAGAAATACCCGTACAAATAGCGGGCGAGCAGCGAAAACTACGATATGGCTGCAACATACCATGTCTCAAGAAGACCCAGATGATTACTTCCTTCCACTATAAGACCAACGTGTTTTGGCGTATCATTCGATTATATCTAACCTCGCTGAAACCGTCTGGCAGCCCATGCAGGTCCATATTCATGGTACTGCTGGCGAGTTATGGCAAGTTCTTCCATGGCTTGTCTGTTCGTAGCTAGGCGGTTTGCGCCGACCCACGCCGAGCGGATAGGGCTGTTAAGATGGTCAGTTCGGCAGTCCAAGCATGTACGAGGGAAACAACATTCGGAAACATACTCAACGGGCTGGCGCACTCTGATAACACACTCGGATGGTGCGAGCTTGCGTAGTTCCAGTTTTCTTCGGAAAGTTAGTGAATCGTCAATTTTTCGGGGCACAGGGGACCGTAACTTACAGCCTCTCTAGAAATCCTGGCATGAGAGAAGTTCCACCAACAACGAGAACATTTCCTAGAAAGGCTGGATGTAGGGCCGCTGGAAGTACAGATAGACTCTGCATTATCAGTTCTGGTATTCCTGGGGCCTTGATGCCTATATCTGTTGGGGTAAATAGACTCTCTGGCACCGTGAAGCGTTCATTTCCAAGAAGCAACACATCTTCGGACGTCATTCCAGGGGCTGTAGCCCCTGCTAGAATATCTTTTCGCCTATTTACAGCTGCCACGCTGTCATAGGAACGCACGAATCCTTTTCTGTTGGCTGTAGGGTCTGGGAGCACGTACTCCACGACCGCTTCCTCGGAATAGTCCTGCGTTCGTCTTTTCCGATTGCTTTTCCATGTCTTCTCCATATCGAGTGAGAAATCCTGACTCACAAAACAAACCGCCTCCTTAACTTCATTGACGATGTATGTCTCATCTAGCATATGATATTGGCGTAAGGATATGAGCTCTTTGAGGTGGTTTGTGAGAAATTTCCCACCAATGTCTAGCCGACGTATCGCGCGTTGTAGAGCCCTACCGCGGTAGACAGGAGTGACAGTTGTGTGCGAGTAACCAGAGTCAACAACAATTAAGCAGTCCGCAGGTGCTGCGGGGAAGCTGCTATCAACCTTGACGGGGTCGTCAAATATTGAAGGAGTGTCGTTCCACGCATTGAGCGTCGAGGCTGCGGTTGAAGTGATTAGCTGCAAAGACTTGCAATGGCGCGGAGAAAATTGTGCGACATACCAAGACATCTAGCATATCCACCAAACTGCCATTCCTCCATGATGATCTCATCTGTATTCTTTTGTAGAGTAGGCAGAGCATTGGGCGCCTCCGTCAATATCAGAGTGGTATCTTTTGGATCTGCAACGCGCAACTCGGCCCTCTTCGCAGTCTTGGGCTCGAAAAATGAATGCTCCCAGATGTCACGCTCGGCTTCCCAATTCACGATATATCCCTTCTCGACGGGCCGCCTGAAAGCAGCTTCGTTCCAGTCAGTGATCTGAGCCAGCTCAAGACCAGTATACACCTGTTTATCGCGAGTTCGGACGAGCGTGTTTGACACGGGAACACAGACATCAGCAGCCGGGGCATCAGCAACGGCAGTGGCCCATCCGGCCTTCATCGTATAAGCGCCATTGTCGATGATGAAAGTGCTCTTGGGAAGCTGCTGGCGCAAGGGGGCCTGCTTGGAGCTGCGAGAAGTTTTCGACGTTCCCATCTCATCTCATGTCATCTCGAAGCGAAGAAGAAGTCCACGGAGGTCATGCGACTGACAGCGCGTCGCAGGGATGTCAGGCAGAAGCAATAAGCATGTGGTTGTGGTGTCTGATCTCGAGGCAGATGGAGGACGGACGGTGACGTAGTATTTGGCTCAGACGTGCGCTTTTTCTCCGCGGAGATCTCCGTCTCTCAGACCTCCTCCGGAATTCGAATACAGTGGTCCCTCGACAATGGAGAAGACACTGTAGCATGCAAGAAAAATGGTTTTCAAACGAATCGAGTTCGTGCCGGCAAAAGACACTACAGCTGGCGGTTCGATCTATGAGTCCAGCACGCGGCCAGCTTCTGCTCCGCCGCAGGAGCAGCTGAGTGCGGGCGACAGGTATCTATCGCTTGTACTTGGGCCTGGACAGGACAACGACCGCACTACTGCGACTGGCCCTCAAAGAGCAAATAGCAGCGAAAGAGGGCTTCCACGATCACTTGGTCGGGTCCCTTCTAAATCTACTAGGTCGTCGCCCGGACTAGATCTGGTCCGTGAAGGGTACATCAGATTGATGAGAGACATCGAGCAACCAGTGATGAGTCTACCAGAGGATCACGGCGGTTTGCCTCGCGTCAGTCAAACGAATGCAGGACTGATCTGTGAGGTCTGCAACCGTCCAATCCCAGACACGTCGGTCTCGTCGATTCGCAAGCACGAAGCTTCTTTTGTCCACCAAGTATCACTGCCTCATTCCCATCCGCCTTCATCTATCGATCGTACTCGAAGAGGCTACAAGTACTTGCAATCATTTGGCTGGGATCCGGATTCCCGTCAAGGTCTTGGATCAGCAGGGCAGGGTATCCGCGAGCCGCTCAAGGCGCGCGCAAAGAATGATACCGTCGGACTGGGAATCGATGTGAAAAGGCTCAAGAAAGAAGGGAAGGTTGTGAAGAAGAAGGAGAAAAGGCTGAATGCTAAAGAGGTCAGGCAGATGGAAAAGAGCGATAAAAAGAAGAGTGAGAGGTTGCGGAGAATGTTCTATGCGAATGACGAGGTTGAAAAGCACCTGGGTAATCACGGAAGTTGATGGGTCTTCGATCTCTCAAAATGCAGGCAAACCATTAAATACGGCTCGTGTCGTCTCGCAGATGTTCGGGCATGGTGACAAGGGGTTACAGAATGCCATGCAAGATCTCGGTAAAGGCCGTCTGGGACATTTGCGGATAGATGCAACACGAGCAATCCGCAATTCTATGCCGATTGCTCATGGTGATTACCTGCATGAAAGGATTCCCGGATCGTTATCAATGGTCATGTTGCCATGTGGTCCGAGGGTTGTCTCCTGAAGCCCATGCTTGCCGATATATAGCTGACAACATCTTCTGTCTTTTGCCGACCATGTCCGGGTAAGACGAGCACCGGACCCAGCTGGATGAATTGAAGTCTAGATATCTTGTCCCACCGATCTATTCTGATATGGGGTGCGCAGTCTCCAGTGGTCTTGGGCTATTTAGCTTTCAACGGTAATTACCCCGGATTTTGGAGAGATGGGGTGTTGCACATAATGATATCCAACTCAAATTACAGTCATCGTTTGAGAAAGGTATAGGCTCCAATCTTTCGCCAACTTGAGGATGTCAAACAGTTGATTCGTGTGCGTCTATTTGTATTCGAGTGCCCCATCTCCAGAGCAGTTCTCTTCAACGACATCATTTTCGTTGATTTCGGTCCAGAAGTGTTAGCCATGAATCATGTGAATAGGACGTTACGACATAAATGTGTAATGGGCCTATGGCGCAACGGTAGCGCGTTTGACTCCAGATCAAAAGGTTATCCGTTCAAATCGGGTTGGGCTCATCACTCCTCTTCTTTTTTTGTCCTTTTTTTCTACGGATGTATCCACCTCCACTCAACACCTCAAAGCTGTGTGATTCTTGGAATTCCTTGTCATCAACGGCCACCCCCGCAATTATGTATGTAAATGCAAATGCACCCTACTTCTTCAGATGCGTCGCCCAGGATTGAGGCGTCGCTTGATTAGGTCTTCTTGGCCGGTCCGCTCCTGGCAAAAGCACCTGCGCCTTTTTGAGTCAGCTCATGCGCGCGTGCTTCAAGCATACCTCTCCTCGTGCCCAGTATATTCTTCCTTCGATCGATAGGGTATCATCGTTTATCGAGGGATATTCAAGCTCCGCGGTCTCTGTCTTCAACTTCGATACCATGGTAATGAGCTTGCGCGATCATGCAAAAACGTGGAATGCAGCGACGCTTGTTTGATAACGCCTGAGGTGCTTTCTATCGATTATCATCGGAGCTTCACTGAACCATCTGGTCTTACCAGCATGATGCATTCACTGCTCAGATGGAGCTTGCTCTGTTTTCGCACTTCTCAGCCATACACTCAACAAATCGATTAGTTTGCCTGTCTCGCACGCATATGCTTTCGAAATGATATTTGAGATAGTCGTTACGGCTAACATGTTCTAAGTCGCGCAACGCCTTTCGCATGACCTCGGCCGTACCATATTTAAGGTTGTACATACAGGCTCTTTTTGTCACTTGAGATGCCTGATAAAAACACAGCAATTGAGAACGATCGCCGAGACCATTGCTAGCCGATGGCTTAGGCCTCGAGTTCTTCTGTGCTTATCTGGTGTTTATGTGTACTATCAGGAGTTTTTCTCGAAGGCTTTTTTTCCGGCGGAGAGGGGTTTGCACCTTCGTGATTCCTCATCCAAATATTCGGTATGAGATCATTTTGGGCTTAATATTCAAGCTATAACCACCAGCTCTACGCCGCTAACATGCTATACTGAATTCTTTTCTCGATCTGGTTTCAATATTGCAGCACAAACTCCTTTACACGGACTTTTTCACCTGCAGTCTGCGTGTTCGAGGGACATATCAGGGGGTTTCAAAGCTCTAGATATCGCCTGAGCTTTCTCTCGCTATTTGACAGGCCTAATTCGATATTTACTTGTCGATAAAATGGGATTCTACCGCCAGGAGGGGAATGATTCTGGACCAGCCAAGGTGACAGGACATGATGTCGAGGCTCAGGAATGAGAAAATGCTTACCTTGCCCTCGGCCAGAGTCTCGAAAATGGCCTTCTGGATAGCACCAGCATCGTTGTGAAGACCCATATGTTGAAGCATCATGATACTGGAAAGCAACAAAGCAGTGGGATTGGCCAAGCCCTTGCCGGCAATATCAGGGGCAGAGCCGTGGACAGCCTCGAAGATGGAGCACTTGTGTCCGATGTTGCCGGACGGTGTGAGACCGAGACCACCAATCAATCCAGCACACATATCAGACAAGATATCACCGTACAGGTTTGGCATAACGAGAACCTTGTCGGCGTAAGGGGCGGGGTCGGTGGTGATCTTCAAACAGCTGTTATCGAGAAGCTCCTCGTCGAACTCAATGTCGGGGTACTCCTTGGCGATTTCTCTGGCGGTGCGCAAGAAAAGACCATCAGACATCTTCATGATGGTGGCCTTGTGCACAACGCGGACCTTCTTCTTGCCGACGCTTTGAGCGTATTGGAAGGCGAAGCGGAGAACGCGCTCGGAAGCCTCACGGGTGATGAGCTTGATGCTCTGCACAACACCGTCGACAACGATGTGTTCAATACCGGAGTACTCGCCCTCAGTGTTCTCTCTAATGAGAACAGTGTCGACATTATCGTAGGGGGTCTTGTAGCCTGCAATTGATCTGCAGGGACGGACGTTGGCGAAAAGGTTGAATGTGCGACGAAGGGTCAAGTTGAGAGAAACGTGACCCTTACCGACTGGGGTCTGAAACAAGAAAAGAAAGCGATGAAGTTAGCATTTGATTGCACAGCTTGAAACCCTCATGAGCAAGGGAGTGGCATCAAGGGCAAAGCGCACCGCAAGAGGTCCCTTGAGAGCAACAAAGTTCTTCTTGACGCTCTGAATGGCCGCGTCAGGGATGGCAGTCTTTCCGTCCTTCAAGATTGGCGTAACATCGACCGGCTCCCAGCTGATGGGGACCTAAATACAGTATTAGAGATGCGTGTCCGTTGTCCGTCGCCTAATGGCAATAGTATCGGAAGGTTCTGCGTTACCTTCGCAGCAGCAAAAATATCCTTGACTGATTGAGAGATCTCTGGGCCGATACCATCACCCTCGATCAAGGTGACTGTGTACTTTCCCTACAGCGGCGGTCAATATCTTAGCTATGACGCTCAATTGACTTGAGGCAGCACCACTTCACCGAAGGCTCATAGTAGAACGTACATCAGGGCCCTTCTGACCGGGGAACTGAGCAACTCGGTCGCTTTGCGAAGCATAACATCTGATCTATAGACACCTGTCAGTCATACTGAGCCCAATTGACCGCATCGCATAGCTTTTCAGGCATTCCGCAACTCGGTCTGCGTATCAGAGTACTCACGGTGCCGCGGAAAGAGTTTCTGAAGGATTGCCGCACGGGGCTGGCGAAGACACGGGAAGACAACATCCTGGGCTGTTGGAGGGAATGGACTCTCGCACTGATGCTGGGCTGGCAATGACTATTTAGATCTGACTGCGACGAAGAAGGAGGAGCAGTACGTCTGATGCAATGGAGACTTGAAGAGATGAACAGTCTTCAGATGCCCTTCCTCCGGCAACTCCCCTACTGCGAGAGAAGGCGAGACTCTGCCGGGCCAATCCGCCGCGGCGCAGACGGGGGCTGCTTATGTAAGGGTGGGTTTGGCGGGCCTCATTCCATCCATCCATCCATGCATGACATCGACGACGACGACGACGACAACGGGCTAGCAACAGCATCCAGCAAGCACCTTAAGCTCCTGGAGCTGTTGGCAGCCGATACGACGATCAGCTTCGACCTAGCGTGCTTGCTCTTTCAACCAACCGGCGCCATCAGACAAAACAATGATGGCCGTCCCATCGGAGCGCGCGATCAGGGAGTATTACCATCTGCCGTCTGCCTTCCCTGAGGAGTGGCCTGCTGAGCTAGATGCCAGCGATGACTCCTCTGACGAGGAGGGAACGCAGCCTGCGGTGGGTGATAACCGATTGCAGCTCGACCGGCGAAAGTCGAGGTACTTCGCGCTCCAGGGGGACAGGAGGAGTGCCTTGCCGGGCTCAGACATGGTAGACGACGACAATCTCCTCCCCACCGATGAGCCAGACCCCCTCGGGACTTCTAACAGTGTGGTCAGCATACTCAAACGACGAGGTCTGCCTGTCGATCGCGACTCCCGTATGCGCAACCGCTTTTTGTTATCGTCTACGACATTCTCCCCGGGCCTTTTCCTGTCGCAGGTGCATTCGATGGCATCGACCCAGTCGCTGTTGCAAGGGCTAGAATGTCTTTCGAAATCGATCGATCAGAAATCCGCCTCCTTGAAAGTCCTCGTTGAGTCGAACTTTGAGCGCTTCGTTCGCGCAAAGGCCACCATCGATAACGTCTACAACGAGATGCGGGACCAGGGAGGCAAGGATAAAGACCTTGGGGGCTCTGACACTGCTTCAAAGTACGCTCTCACAAGGGACAATGAATACGGCATCAAGTCAATACGGGTACCCCTGGTTGAAGCGTCTGCCCGGGCAGAGGAGGTATGGGGGCCTGCTCTCATCGGTCGACAGCGTGAGGACGATTTAAAGTCAGTCATCACTGCAATGGAAAGACACAGAGCTATATATGAAGTTGGAGGCAATGTCAGACGGTTCATCAGACAGAGAGACTACGACGCCATTGTGGCTGAGTACACCCGAGCACGGAGGTTCGCCACCGACGCACGCCTGCTTGCTGAGCGTACCGTGGAGGATCAGGCAACCTTGACGGACGAGCAGGTTCATACTATCATCATTACCGGCAAAATGTGGGTGGACGTTGAGGACCAAATTCAAGTCTTCAAGCGTGACCTGTGGAAACGGCTCAGCAACATTCAAGCAAACTCAGAGGATTATGACACAGAAGGCCCCGTGGAGGAGTATATGGAGATTATCATTGCTCTGTTAGAGCTAGGTGTCAGCGATAATCCAGTGTGGATTTGGCTGTTGGGCCGTTATGATTTTCTGAAATCCAAGATCACCGTTTTCTGTGACCGGTCCAAAGTGGAAATCGAGCTTATGAGGCGGCAGCTTGCAAGCGGTGAAAAGCCGACTCCTCATAAAATAGCACCTTTCATGAGGCTGCAGAACAAAGACGGTACGAGGAACCCGACTGAGAGATTAGACAGGGATCCAGTTGTGCAAATGTGGGAGCATGTACATGGATACCTGAAAAAACTGCTTTCGCTAGAAAATGGCATGTTGGCCGAAGCGCTAGATTTTTGGGCCACTATTCAATCATTCATCAACGGAGAAAGACGCAAAATGTTGCCTGCTGGATATGATGGCGAAAGCAATAAGCATCACCAACTTCAAGACGACCAGATCAAGGATCTGAAGACCGGCGTGATTGAGCTTCTCAATCTGATTCGAAAGAATACTTATGCACTTTTCGTGGAACCACCCATTGATGATGTATCATCACTACTCACGCCCACGTCGCCAGGCACGCCTTTACAGCATCTTATCTCAACCGAGTCGCGCTTCAGAAGTGACATGAAAGACTTGCCTCCAAACGCCCAAAGAAGTGGCCAGTTTTGGGAGGATTTCGCATTCTGGCCGCCATGGGCTACATCACTCAGTGGCGCTCATTACCTTACTCAGTTCATGGCTCTTATCGGCACTGCTTGTGTCGAAATGGCTGCTTCGAACCTTGTGGGACGCGGTGATTTCTTTGAGAAGTTGAAAATCTTGGTGTCAGCAACAAGGGAGCACTGCGTTCGCGCAATATGTGCTGCGTGGAACAAGGACGTTGAGTATTGCAAATACTTTGA